ACTTGCTTTCCAGTAATTCAAATAATCCCCACTGTATCGTTAAGATTTGTAATCAAGCTTCTAAAAAATCATCATTCTCTTACAGTTTTTTTTGCCTTAAATAATTTTGAACTGATGGAGAAACTGTAGTATATTAAAGTATGGTGTAAAACTAAAACAGAAAAGAAATGCAGCTGTAAGAAAATAGAAATCCTAGTGAGGTAAAGATGCATTTGGTGGTGGGGGGAGGCAGGAGGGGATTTTGTGGTCACTTGCTTAGACTCTGGAAAATGCAAAGAAATCCTGCTTCTGTCACCATGGCTTGCTGAAACATAGTTATTTTAAGCTCAGAATATGTGCTTAAGAAGCTGACACTTCAGTATAGTGCTTGCCTGTGAGGTTTCCCTTTATTCCAGATGGCTTCTTAGGAGTGAGGAATCATAAAACTAGCAGAACGTGGCACGCTCCTGAGTTTATCACAAAAAGGACAGTCATGGAAACATCATAGGCTTCCATGGGACTGCTGCTTGTCGGCTCTTCCTCTCAGTGAGTGCTCAACAGAAATGATGTGTAGCTGCCCATCTCTCCAAGCAACTCCCAACAGCCAAGTTCCTCTCAGCAAACTAATTGGGAACCTGATTCCAGGTACTAAGGACAATCTTGAAGGCTTTGCGTGTTCATGTATTCTTAAAAAGGCTCCTTGAGGTACCAAAAAGCCTTTGGATGTTTTGGAGACCAGATTGGAGCTGCAGGCACCTGGCAGGAGTCCCTCTGTCACACTCAGGCACAATTACAGCACTTACGCACCAGTGTCCATATGCAAAAGGGGGGTAAATAACTGCAGGTTATCTATCTGTGGGGCTGTCGGGCCTTTTCATTCTGAGATCTGCTATGTTCCCAACAGTTTAAGGAAAAGCAAATGCAGGATAGATAAGACTGTGCGATGATCATATACCCTTTGCTTTGGAGCCACGTGCATTCCTAAAATAAATGTCAAGGGCTTTGCTGACATGAACGCTTGAAGATACGGGTAATTAATTTTCCTTACTGGCTTGTGTTGACAGTGTTGCTCTGCAAGCTTACATCCTGTTACCTTCAGGAAATGGGATGAAAAAGCTGTGACCCTGCAGTTCAGGAGAACTTCCAACTGGAGATTTTCTTGTAGCCTTGTCCTTATTTTAGCACCCTTTTAAAATGAAAGGTGGGGGGGGAGCCAAGTGTTACTTTCCCCTTATTTGTGTTCAAAACAAACAAACAGCTTCCTGTGTACTGTACTGGGTAACTCTGAACTCAGTTCATTATCATCATCTCCTACAAGAAGGGTGGCTTTGAGCAGCCCTCTCCTACAATTGTGGCTTTGAGCAGTTCTCTGGCCAGGCACAGATGCTTTCTCCTTCTCTCAGAGCTAGGAGGCGGTTCCTGACCTACTCAAGGCAGGAGGAAAGGCTTCCTTCCGAAGCCTCCACCAAGTTTGAGCCGTAAATCTCACATTTAATATTTCAGTGACAAATTTCCTTCATTATCATGTCCCTAAGGTGCAAAATCCCCTCACTTCTGACCAATGCCCAAAGAGGTGCTGTATAACTCCTGCATGTCCTGACAGCAAGGTGTGCCTGTAGGCACATGGTATGTGTGATGTGCCTTTGCCAACCTCAGCTAAACATGTTTTACTTTGGTTTACTTTGCTAATTTCTTAGTGGTGCTCATTAAAGGAAGGATCAAACCTGAAGTTACCAGGTTTGCTTCCTGAATATCACCTCTGTATTCTTTTCTGTGACAGTGATTTTGGACCATGCTTATTTATGTATGATGCACCAGACTAGGGCAGACATAGTGGTCCAGGCCTAAAAGTTAGCTTTGTCCTTAAAGTATAATAAAAGGTTTTGAATCCCAGATGCCTTTGGCAGGATGGATTCAAAGTGAGATATGAATTGCCAAGACTTACCAATTGTTACTTGTTGCTGAGCCTTAGGCTTTTGATGATGGCACTTGATGTATATTGAGACACTTCCCCTAGACTTATTCTAATGGATTGGACATTTGAGAAGTTTTTAATAGCACTTCATCTAGTATTAATTTGAATTACACCTGCCTTGTAAATGAGGCAAAATGCAGTGTTTTAAAACCTTTTGCAGAGTTACAAATGATCACATTTCCATCAGTTGTTTTTTGGATTTGGTAGGGGTCTGTAGGTATTCCTGGGAAATGATTTTCACTTATTGTGTAGGTCGTAGATTTCTGATTTTTTTTTTTTTAATTGTTCTCTGAAGAGAGGGATGACCAAGTGTTGTCAGTCTGGGAACATTATTTTTAATCTTACTGCATGAAAATAAGGTTGGAGTAAATCTGGGTTCTGTTTAGAGTGGGTTATTTTTTATTGTAGTCAAGATGTCCTGCTGTATGTTTCTCAGCTCAAAAAAGAGCAAACTGGAACTCAATCTGTTCTTTGAGAGAGATCAAGTGTTCTTGGGGCCAGGGCATGGGGCATTTGAATCACAAGTAGCCTATTTACTTCTTTTAAGAAGAGTTATAGCTCTTTCAAGTGCTTTCATGTTTAAATAACCAAAAAAGGCTTGGGGAGGTTTGGGCTGGACTTCAGGAAGAATTTCTTTCCTGCGAGGGTGGTCAAACATGTGAACAGCCTTCCTAGAGAGGTGCCTGTTGTCCCATGCCCCTTGGTGGTCAAGAGGCATTTGCAGAATGCCCTCTCATCCATATGCTTTAAGTTCTGGTTAACCCTGAAGTTGTCAAGCAGGTGCATTAACCTTTGGGGATCCCTTCCAACTGAACTGCTCTATTCTAACGCGTATTTAGAAGCACTCATTAAGATTAAGAAACTGATCAACCTCAGTGTTGAGAAAGTGTAGCCCGAGGAAAAGTTGGGACTTGAAAAGCTGGCCTTTCAGCTGAACAAAATGGAAAAGCATTTGAGTGGGTGCTTGCAAACTGTGAACTCCATTTATCTGTATTCCACTATGTAAGAGTAGGACTAAATACAAATCAAACAAGTTGGGTGTGTTGGAGGGACCACTTTATCTGTTCTAACAATTGGGCTTTCTTCTAACTTAAAGTGTATGTAATCTTGCAGTACAAGTATGTTATGATTCTGATATGTGACTGTTTTCAAGTAGTGCCATACTCTGTGGCTACTGGAATTTAATAATTAGCAGAATGCTGCAGTGATTCATTACTATTGCAAGGGAAGCCTTTCTATACCAGCCACCATATTCCAGGGGGATAAGTCCTTAAATTCCCCAATAATTGTAAATTTCTCATTGCAAGGTAAAAATTTAAATGCCATCTAATGCGCAAACTAAACATTTTCCAATGAAACAAAGATAGATAAATAACTGATTTTTCTAATGTTAAAAAACAAAACCAAACCCCACAACCTTAGAAGAGCTTCAGTTTTTTTCAAGGCCTTCTGATTGCATTCCAAAGCTGAAAAATGTTTGTGATAGGCCTGGTTTAGCACTTAGTAATTTGTCTCTCTGAAATATGTGAAGTACTTGTTAAATAGGTAGTATTTCTATCTCTGTGACTGTGTTGTTGTGGTTTTTGGTTGATATGTGGACACAGATGGAACTGTTAACTTCTGTGTAATAAAACTGGTATAGAAAGTAAGAGTGCATTAACTCGTGTCTGTCTGTAGGGATCAGTCCTGTTAATGTCCGAGATCTCAGCTGTGACTTGGTTGCCAGCTTTATTATACTTCTGCTTTGTAGCAAGTGGAGTTGTGTCAGCATCTCTTATTGTTATAAATTAAAAAAAATAATCAACTGAAGTCAGAAAAGCAGAATCATGCCAATTCAATTAGTATGGAATACTAAAGCAATAATTTTTCTATGCAGACTCAATCCTATCAATTTCTGTATGTTTCTCTTTCATTACTTGTGCAAATGAGCTTTTAATAACTTAAGTAGTAGCAAGAAAGCTTAGTCTTTTGATAGACTAGAAGAAGAAAAAAAAATCATGCTGCCTCAAATTATATTTTTAATGATATGACTGAAGCTGAGTGTACCTAACTGTTGTTTATGGGAATAGTGTATTTTTATAATGATTATTATGTTGGGAAATCACCATCTCAGTACTGAACTTACAAAAAATAATTTCTATACCCTTTTCCACCACCTATTCTCTGAAGGGTTTGGATGCATCAGAACAAATGGAAGTTAGCTACTAGTTGATGTGAAGGTCTGTGAAAGACAAGTCTTTAATGATGGGTTGATCATTGTGTATTATAAAAATTGGCAGCGTTTGGCATGTGTCTTGTGGCAAGGAAAGAAAAACGGTATATCAAATGCTGACATGAGGAAGCACAGCCATCAAATGGGCACAAATCATGAACCTTCAGGAACAAACATGGTTGAACACGTGTTGTTTGTGACCTGGGCTCCTGCTCTGTGGTGACTCTGCTGTTTTTTATCAGAGTATTCAGGGCTGTGGGGTATCACATTCTTGTCAGTTCAATTTTCTTTGCAGTGTGATTTCTTCTCCTGTAGTCCTTCTTGAGTATTTTATGTTCAATGGTACTGCCTACAGTACTACTGCACTGTGGGTATCATTCCTTTATCTGCTTATGAAGCTGTGATTGAAGGACATTATAATCTATTGTCTTTCTCATCCTCATCTGCTTTTTGTTTTCCTCCGGCTTCCAGAAAGGAGGTTGGAAACAACAGTGACTTTATGTGCTGTTGTGATGATGTATCGTGCAAGATGGTTGACAGATAGGAGAAGAGGTGGAGATCACAGGGTGTTGGTAGTGAGGGCAGAATTGCAGGAGTCAAACTATACCAGTGTCTGCTGAGAGCTTCCTTATTGCTTAAAAAGAGGGTGTGTTTTCACTTTTTTTGTAAGAATTCTTATTTATTGTTAATTTGTTGTCTTTGAACTGGAGGCTACGTGCGGGCAAGTACATGTATACAAACAAAATCTGAAGCTCTGTGTTACGCTTTGGGAATTTTATATTCTAGACTGACAGTGACTGATATTTCTGTTCTGATTTGTTTTCCCCCCTTTAGATCCCTGCAGTTCCCTCAGCCCACCATGCTTTACTGAGGAGGACCGATTCAGCCTGGAAGCTCTCCGCATGATACATAAGCAAATGGATGACGACAAAGATGGTGGTATTGAAGTAGATGAAAGCGATGAGGTAAGAATATAAAAAGCCTTCGCTTGTGCATACCTACGAGGTCTGTACTTCTCCCTGTTTTACATAGCTGCTCTTTATGTTCCAGAACCTGAGTAGTTGTTTCTTTTTAAATTCAGCCCTTTCTTCGTGAAAATGCAGAAAGTAAGTCAGAAATGGAAAATTGATGTCCGTGGTTTTAGCCTAAAAAAAAAAAAAAAGAGTAAGCACCTCCTGCTAAAGGTTATTCAAAGCTGTCTGAAGCATTTTGTGATTGTGCTTGAATGATTTCAGTAGTCAGGCTACTGGTGGCCCTGGCAAAGGACTTGCCCTTTTGTACTTCAACTTTTACCATCTGGATACTCAGAATTACTGGGGAGGAATGGAGATCTATCCATGTAGTTTCACTGTACTTGCTTCTCCAGCTTTCTGGCAGGAGAAAGGAGGGGTTGGGGTGTGTGTGTGTGAAGATGTCCCCTGATTTCCTGTTTGCTAAAAATGTGGGGTATTGCCATGTGGTTCTGAAACCAATTCTCATTGAAGGTGAGTAGGAGAAGAATCTAGCCTTGGCTTCTCATCCTTTTTTTGTAACATCTCTGTGTAGATTTGTTCTCACTGAAGGAATGAAGTTATGAGTTATCGTGGTCAAGTCTAATTTGATACCACACTGAGTTCTGTGTGAATACGTACAAAACAACTATGGTGCTTCCTGAAGGAATACAGTACAATAGAGAAGATGTTCCAGAGTAAACTAATGTACTCCTGAGGAAAAAATCTGCCCTGTACCTTAAGGCGTGTAATGGTTCAGGCACTGAAAATACTCTGTAACATTAGAGCTAGGGTGTTTATTAACATGAATATCTGGGAGAGGCACAATCCAGTCTGCAAAATGAAACATTAGTGACTGTGAGCTTTCTGAGCAGCTTTTCAACATTGCATGATTATCTTGACTTGCACTGCATTTTTTGTACACGAAGGTGAAGAAAGTTAAAAGAAAACACTGAAATACACATTGAAAAGTTTCTAGCAGCGTTCAAAAGACCTGCCCTTGCTTCCAATAAATACACCTCTTCATCTTTATCTCTGAGACTAAGTTTCCTTCTGTTGCAGAGGAGTGTCAAGGTGAATCAAAGCAGCAGAAGCTACTCTTAAATTCGTTAAAATGACTGAAATTTGAATAGATCATGAGGGTTGCGGTTATAGCTAGGGTATGAGAGATTAGTGAAGCTATGTATTCAAAGTACTCACCGTGCATAAAGCAAGACAACTGAAATGTAGCCCTTTCTCTGCACTCTGCTTTCAAATGTTGGTGTATTTAATAAGAGCTAAATTATCTTTTTTTTCTGCATTTATTATCTTGGAGATCAGTGAATACATATTTGCACAGATATACTTTCATCTAAGACATTACAAGCAAACCTGAAATTAGTAAAAACCATAATTTAATTGGAAGATAAACTAGTAATCTATATGTTCCTGTGCTGCTTTAACTAGTTTTTATCTTAATCTTCAAAAATCTGACATTTTAACAATGAAGTTATCTAATTACCTTATTACTTACAACACATGTAGTATATATTCAGAACAGTAATTGACACTGCTTCCAAAACAGATGTTTTATCTGTCAGAGTGGATAATGCTGCTTGCCTTGATTAAAGATGAGAATAGATAATAAACCACTTAATTATAAATAAAGCTTGCATGAGATACAGGGATCTTCTTAACAGCAAGGTAATGGATTCTTACTGTTATGTGCTGCATGGCTTCTGCTTACAACAAGACTCCTGGAAGAGCAGTATATTGATATTCACCAGCTTTATTATTATTATTTGGCAGGAAAAATGACAAGATATTATTAACTTTCTGCTGTTGTACCACTAGTAAAACAGTGTTACGGATTGCAAGCCTATATTTACACTGAGGAAGGAAGTTCTTGTAAATAAGTTATTTTGAGAAAGGAAAGGTGACAAGAAATAAAGATGCTGAACTATTTTAACTATTTTAATTTGCTAATCTAGTTGAGAACCCCTGGCAGTGATTCCCGAGATCTTGCTTGCATATATCTCTTCTTTTTTGGAAAGTTTCTCATGCCTTGTTTTTGTTGTAGTTTATTTATTCTATGTAAAATGAAGTCTCACATAAAACTGTTCCTTAGAGAATGAATTTCTTTAGGAAGTAGGAAAACGTGAACTTTTATAAGAGACTTCGTGTTTCCTCAAAACTAGTCTGCAACTGGAAGCCTTTTGGGGTTGGCTTCTGTAGGCTTGAAAGAAGATTTTAGCTAGCTAACCTTTGTGAAATTCATGTGGGAAACTTGATCAAAATTTTTACCATGAGATTTATTAGTCACTGAAACACGTAAGGGTTTTATGGAAGTCAGCTGAGAAAGGTGGAAGGGTTCTAGTCTGATCATGGACTGGTTAGATTTTTCCTTAGTTTTGATGTGTTACCTAAGTTAGGGTAGCTGGTATAACAGATTTTTGAAGACAAAATCTTGAACTTTAAATTCACTAGAAAATACTTTTCTAGTTTGAAATGCTAGAAAATATTTGAGGAAGAAAAGAGCTTATGTCATAGTTACTCATTTTTGATTTTTTTTATTCAGGATTCACATAATTTTATAACATTTTCCTGAGTTTTTAATATAGAATAACATAATTCAAAAACAAGGAACATAACTCAAAGGAAAAAAGATTGATTTGGATAATAAACTTGTGTTATAATTTAAAGTAGATCATGTTTTACTGTGCTGCTATTAATTTCTGTGAAGTAGGATATCAGCGTGAAAGGCAGAATGGGAGAGAGAAGGAAAAAGCATAGAAGACAAGACTGTAGTTATCATTAGGGCAGGTCAGTATGAATTTATCAAATCTGGCTCCTGCTACTAATATTTTACTATTCATGTACAAAAGGTTGCAATTGTTTACATTGCTTTAAAGGTGTAGACTGTAAAAGGGTAACTAAAAGGGAGTATATTATTGACTGAGGCTTTAGTCATGTGCTGTGGGAGGCTATCTGCCTCAGGAAGCATCTGTTACAGCAGGCATATATGACTTATTTTAATGATGAAGAGGCATGAGCAGCAAGACAGACTTATCAGCATGTTCGTTATTTACCAAGTTTTTTTCCTGTTTCCAAAGAAACTCTATGTGTAGATCCTACATCATGTAATTGCCTCAAGGAATCTCACTGTAGAAATGAGTAAGTTGGTGGTTTTGAAATATTACTATGTTATATGTATAACGACACAAAAGCCAATGGCATGAATTTACAGCATTTCATGGGATCCCTGGATTAGGTGACTTAGTATCTCAATATCTTGCATAATTAAAACAAAAACAAAACAAACAAAAAAAAACACTAAAAAGAATACCCAGAGCCTACAGTACTGAAAGCATTAAATGATCAGAGAATGCCCATGAGCAAGCTTGGTCAAAGCAGCTGGAAACTCAGAGGTGAGATGTGTAAGTCATGTCTGGAGACAAGAATGTAAAAATCAGTCTGTAGCAGCTTAAACAGGGTGGGTGATCATCATCTGTACAGCGACCAAAGCAGTAAAAGTAGCTAATGTGATTTGATAAGGAAGAGTAAATCAGCACTTTGGCTGTAGTAAGTGTGATGGGCAGCATGTTTGACAGCCCAAGATCTTCCTTTAAGTAGAAGTGGCCATTTCAGAATGTGTGCAAGCTCTGCGAAGCCATTAGTTGAAGGCTTGAAGGTCATATTTGCATCTGTGATGCAAATAATCCAAGAGAGATGGAACAACCTATGTCATGAGAGAGTGTTTGAAAGAAGATGAAGAGGTGGAATAATCCAGTTGGGAATCAAAATGGAGGAGGTAGAAGAGTCAAGCATAAACAGAAATAAGTAATTTCTAGAATTAGGTTGAGTTGAGAAATACATGCCTCAGTAAACCCTGCCTTTGGTGCTCATTGTCCTTTAAGGTTGTAAGGAAAAAGTAGAACAGTATGAAGTGGGTCTCCTTTTACTTAGTGTGCAATTTGCTGGTGATATTCCTGGTGGTTTACATTTCCTTTCTTTTAGCAGTTAAAATGGTACATGCAAACACCAGCGTCTGTTTTACAAGCTTGCTATATGAAAATATTGTGTACTTAAAACTTTTAAACTCTGGATACCTCTGTATTCTTGAACAAAAGCAAATTTATACACAGCATCTCTGTCCCCTTTAATTGTTCAATCTTGGAGACAGTAAAGAGTTAGCAAAATATTTTAGGGGAAAAGTACATCTATGTAATATGTTGGAAAAATGAGTGGCTGGTAGATAGTGCATATGTATAGGCAGTTGATGGAATAAATGGACATAGACTGATAGCTTTCCCAAACTTTTTAGATGATAGGGAAACATAGAAGTTACAACCTCCCTAAATTTAGCCAGAGGCTCCTGAAGAAATCCATCCAAATGTTTTTAAACTGACACGTGTTTTTTAAACTGGCACATGCGTGACGTAGTTGGAGAGCTTGATCTGCCCTTGTTAGTGCCTCTTGGGACCTCGTTAAACTTCAGGAGCTCACCCCAGGTGTTGTAACTTCAGCTGGGAGGAGATCTGCTGTGAGCTCTTGCTTCCTCTCATTGCCTGCAAATATACACTCAGCAAGAATTGTCCTTTTTAAAGGACATAAATTCCCTTAGTGTTTTGGCTTTGACATTATCACTTTTATAATAATTGTCCTTAAACTGCTGTTTGTAAGGTGTGTAAGGTTTGTGTAAGGTAGATAATGCTTCAGAGGCAGACTGCTGGGCAAAACTGTGTGTTGTAGGGAAATGCCTACTGCAGCGGCTCAGAAACGGTACAACTGTTTTGCATCATCCCGGATATCTCCCGAGCGCGTTTTACATCTCACTGTGCGAGAACATTGTGTGAAGAACATTGATCTTTCAGATGAGTACGCTGAGTGTCCTAACCAGTGCGACAGCCCTCTTCCCCCAAAACTATCTGCTTGCTCTAAAATTCTGTTAGTTTTAGTAAGCAGCTAAATTTCAGCTGCAGATATGTTAGTAGAGG